ATCGAAAAGAGTGGGTAACAAAAATTAATAAATAAAATAAAAAATCTAAATTAAAATAAAAATTACTTGGTAATAATATTAGTAAAAATCAAATTAACAATCCCCAGCAACGACGCCAAAAACTTGCCACGCGTTTTCCACAACATGAAATTATACCGCAAGTGTAGTGTGTCAAGTTTTGTAATATAGTATTGAAGTAAGAGTATCGAATCCACAGGGATTGTATTTAATTTTCATTAAGCACTATAATTGTGCAATTTCTACTTTATTTAGATGAATGTATGATTGAATTGATGTTTTATGAATGAACAATTTAAACTAAACTACGTGATTGGATGTGACAAATTCGGGGAATACAAATTATCAAATGAGAAGGTTTAAGGATTGATTTCACCTAACTTTCAATTATGATTCAACGAATTCAAATTATTCCAATTAATTTTCTCATATTTAAAAGCAAGAATCCTAATGTATTTTTTATCCCCTCTCTCGAGCGCTGATTAGAAATTAACCCTAGATCTCAATTCTAACATCTCTGTTCAAAATTGAAAATCAAGAATTTAATAAAGATCCGATTCTTTTATGGAGTAAGTTTCACAGATTTATACTTTCTCTCGAAACCTATAAATTCTATATTGTATCACTCTTATAATCATGCCTAAATTCCCACTCTCTCAAGCGCCGGAATTGACTAGCATCAAATCATCCAATTGTTGATTAGGCAATTGAAAGCATTAAAATCATGATACAATTAAATATATTTAGGAAAATCAAAGAAATAATTATAAAGTCATCAAACCATAATCTTGATTCGGCTACATCAATCCCCTGGATAAATTGTGTAATTCATGATATAATAAATGAAAATCATAGGAATTATAATAAACAACTTAAGGAAAAGGATAGAAAAAACTAGTCTTTTGGATAGATCTTCAATCTTCTTCCTTGATGTTGTTCCTCCTTCCTTTTGATGTCTTCAATTTTTTGCCTCCTTCAAATTGTGTGGTTGAATTCTTCAATCTTGCCCCCTTCCCTCCTTTTTGAAAATGGGGTTTTTGAATGATATTTATAGTATGTTGGGGGTTTAGGACGAAATAGGGTTGAATTGAGCTAAGAAAAGAGTCCAAAAACATAAAAACGCGTTTTCCCACATATTCGCCACCTCGGCACCAAATATGGGCACGGTGGCACCGCCTGTTCTATTAATTTTCAGTCATATGGACGCTACGGCGCTCAGTTCGGTCGAAAAGGCAGACTGCGCATCTTCCAATATTTTTAGCATAACTTTTGCATCCGATGTCCAATTGAGATGATGCAAGATGCATTGGAAAGCTAACTCAAAAGTATACAACTTTGCTTCAAGCATCATTCATCAACTTGATCGTTTGCTATATAAAAAATGGGTCTCAATGTGAGGCTGAAACTTTGGAGCATAACTTGACGGTTGGAAATTGATTTGTGATCATATTTTGACTAAATTTGATCCCTTTTACATCTTTTTTTCATGCAATTGACTCCTAGCACTCTCGAATCTTCATTGCGAGGTTCAACACAACTTTTCAATATTTACACTTTAGTCCTCGAACTTTGGATCTCTTACAATTTGGTCATTTTCTCCAATTTTGCCAACTTTTGCTTATTTCTTTCAATTTCATCAACCTAGATCACAATGTCAAAATAAACATTAAAAAGCTCTAAAACACTCTCAAGAGTAGCAAAATAACAAATTAAGTGGTATAAAAATCATGAGTGTAAAGCACTCATCATCATGTCACCGTCGACACCGTCACCAGAACCACCAACAACTCCCAGTAGCAAAACCATCATCTCAAACACCGCAGCCAACATCATCATCACCACCACCACCACCGACAACAAAACCACAGCCACACCAAATCTAACATACTCTCTATCACCGTTGGATCCAACAAAGCTACCACCATCATGAGCACCATTACCACCACAGCCCCCACTCCACCAACTGAAAAACACATCCCAAAACCCACATTGGATTGTGGAGCTGCAGATCCTAGCCATGGCGTGCGACAAGGCTAATCGACAAAGGAGTAAGAGATCAGAGTCAACAGGTTCAACTAGCAATGGTCTCACCTACGGCGACACGTCTGCTATCACTAATTTCACACATGAAGCAACATTACCCATAGCCACACCTCGCTTGTGTCGTCGCACAGCGGCTGAGCACTGCTCTTAGTGTCGCTATGTGTTTGGCATTATCGCTGTCACTTCGGTTGCACTCATTGTCATCGTTTAGCAGTTGTGTAGAGAGAGAAAGAGGGGATTCGTTGGGGGCGGAGAGAGGGTGACTGTGGTTGTACAGAGAGAGAAAGAAGAGATTGAGAAATAATTAGGATTTTGTAGCGTAGATGGTAGTGGGATGAATATGTAAAATCATTTTTATAATATTATTATTAATATTTACAATTTAAATTATATCTAATTTTTGAAAACTCTTAAACTTGAATTGAGATCTTGAAATCATTTAATTCATGTAATTTCTACTATCTTCTAAGATATGTTTATGTTTAGTCCATGTTCGGTCCAACAAAAAATTTGAATTAAAATTCAAGTCAAAATCAATGATTAACTTTAATAACATATTTTGTAGTAATTACAACTTTTCAATTACAGATTTCGTTAACTTTTATTAATATCTGTTAAAAATTTGATTTGTATCTAAATCAAACAGGGGCTTACTTTCTCCATTTAAACGAAAAAGAGACATTTTATCTATCATTAAATCAGTCAAATTAAGGTCGGATTGTGGATGAAAGTGTAAAATATTTGGTTTGTACTTCTTAAAATGTTTGGGACTTGATTGCTAATTAAAAAAATTGAGTTTAAGTGTAAAATATTTTATGGTGAGAATGTATGATTGAAAATTAATTTTCTAAAGAAAAAAAAAAAAGAAAAAGAAAAAAGAGGCTTCAATTAACGGGGACCAAACAGGTCTAAGTGATTGAACAAAATTATTCTTTTGTAATTAAACATGTGTTGTGCATTGAGCCTTTAACGGCAAATTTGGACAACTGGACCAAAAGGATCACTCTTGCAAAAAAAGTAGATATAGGGATGTTTTATCATTGAAAGGATAGGTACACAGAAACTCAATATGATAGGGGATCAAAAGTACAAAAATGCCAGAAACAAAAATATGTACGTAAATAGAAATTTCAAAAGTATGGGATATGAGTTTGCACTCCCTACAAAATTGACTGACATATTAATTTTAAATGACGTATCAATAATAAATTGGATAGATAGCAAATTGGATTTCAAATCTCAACTCTGATATGACAGACAAAAAATGAAAGCAAGCTTATCTTTATGGAAAGGAGGGAGCACAAAAGTTCTTTAAATCGTATTTGATTTTTGCTTTACTTGAAATTATAAACAAGTTGACATAAGTTATCGAGCAAGCAAACATGTTTAAATAAAATCTCGACCATCACTCTTGTTTAGTACAATCTCAGTTGCATTTTGCCCATATTTGGTCCTCATTTTCTCAAGTATTTTTTTAGGCCCGGACATTTTAACTAAAATTGAACCTCCCGAATTGAAATTGAATCAAAATAGGAGGTTCCAATCCGATTCCAAAAAAATAAAATTAGGAGCGAGAATCGAGAATGGATTGGGTCTGAAACCGTTCTTGATTCTTAAACTAGAATCGTGGGTACACGAATGGAATCATTTTTTTTTTTATATTTTATATTTTTCATAATTTATAGGCAGGTAAAAAAAAATTACGAAAGTTATTAACTTAATCACTAAATAGGCTATGGATCTGGGTTGGTTTGCAGGTTACAAATAAAAATCTGCCCAACTAAGAAATACAAAATTTAAAAATTCTAACTTGTCTAAAACTCTAGATTCTAACACGAAGAAATTAAGTTACAAAGTCTTGTTGATGCTTCCTGACTCTTACGTTTTTTTGCCTCTCGCCTCATATTATATTGTTGCATTTCAAAGGTTAGTACATGTCAATTTGTAATTTGGACTTTCTACAAATCAAAATGTTCAAGTTAGGACTGTAGTATAAGTTAATGAATAAAGAACATTCAAGCGTTCAATCTTTGCAATTCAGACTTTTTATTTTCTTGTATTGTTTACAAATATAAGTGATTTTTTTTGTAAAGCATAGCAACTAAGCTTGATATATTTAAAGCTTGGGATGTGGTGGACCTTTTAGGTTATCTCGAGTTGGTGGTTATCTTTTGAAACTTTTTTTTTTCTTTTTTACTCAAACAAAGTGAATTCAATATGTGGATTGCAATTAGTTGACACTATATTTATTATTTGAATAGTATTTTTTTTGTGTCAGTTCTTTTAAGAGCGGAAAAATTTAAGTATCGTCCAATATTAAATTATAGACGTTTACATGCCTTACTTATGGATCAAACGTGATTTATTAAGAAAAATTTAGTTCTCAAACTGTAATTTAATTCTTGATGTTTTAGTCTTTACCTCTTCTCAATTTTTAGTCTTCACTATTTTGATCATGCGATTATATTTCTTAGCTTCTAGAAAATTTCTTAACTAGATTCTCACTTGCACAAATATTGCCAAGTAATAGCATATCAGATATACATATTGAAACGACTTATGTGAAAATATTTATTAAATATGAATTCAAAAAAACTTTATGCGTAGAATTGGATCTGAATTGAAACCGCCAATTTGAATTTGGGTTTGATTCCATGATTGCAAGAATTTGAATGGTTCTATTTACAAGTACTCGATGTATAATGGATGGTTCCGAATATTGGATATCTAGACCGACCCACTTGACGTTCAAGTCTACATTTTATCAAATTTTATTAAAATTTAATAAAAAATTAATTTTTAACTAAACGTTGGACTATATGTCACATAAATGAGACAGGAAGATTAGTGGCAAGTCAATAAGTTTTAGGTAAGAATTAATATAGACGTCCTATCGTCCAGATTCAGTAATCTCCGCAGTATTGTGTATGCACCCCATATACACATACTGAGATAAATAGCTATTTTTCTGCATCTCATCTCTCTCTAGATTCACGGCATCTAACAGGTGAACATACTATTGAAACTAGAGAGAGAAAGCTCGAATAATAAGAAGATGATGAAGAGAGAGAACGAGTGTTTCCATGTAATTCATAAGGTTCCTTCTGGTGATGGTCCTTATGTTCGAGCCAAACATGCTCAGGTCTGTCTGAATTATATTTCTTTCTCTATACGCACGTCTGGCTGTGTAATTTAAGAAAATTGTTTGCATTAATTCAGTTTCCTTTTTCGTTTTCAGTTAACTAACATAATTAATTTGTCTGTATTAACTGGTGAAGACTACTGTGTTAAATTTTTGATTAGCAGACCCAAACACTTGTTGATTGAATCTTCTCACAAAAATTTTCATTTTCTGCGTAAACCGACAAGCTTTTAGAGCGCTAAAGATCTTCGATTAGATTTTCCTTTAGAAATTTGGCCTTTATCGTGCATCAAATCTTATCAATTTTTCAGAATTGATCTTGAAAACGAATTTGAATTTGACTTAGAATCCTATTCCTTGTATCAATTCTTAATTATGAAGCATTCCTTTGTTGTTTCATACATATTTTGCTAGTAGCAAGATCAAGAAACCATGTTTTGTCTCTCATTTGTAAATTAACAAAAAGAATGAATACCCTTAATCTTAATTTCAAAATACTAGGAAGTTCTTCAACATGATCTTTAACAACATTTCTCCTCAAACTAAAACTTGAGTTTTTCCATGTTCTCTTGCATGTCACAATTCGCGATATTTTCTCTCGGTTCACTTTTAGTTTTCTTAGGATTCTTAGTGCAAACCTTAATGCATTTTCACTTGTTTAGTGCTTGAGTTATTGTAACTTCATTTTTGTGCTTGTTATAACATTACTAACCTTGCATAACATTGCATATATTGCGTCAATTGACTTCTTCGATTCTAAATGACTTGGTTACATAGATATGTATATACAAGTTTATCCAAAGGTTGTTTAGGGATGTAATTAGACATTTACTATAAAGATTATATTACGTTGCTTATAAAGATAATAGTACTTGGAACGTATGTCTGAGTGACCTCTAAATTTTTCTTTTACCCTCTAGCATTGCTCTCTATCAATTCAAATTAGTGAAACTCTATTCTACTATAGTTTTTGACAACGTGCGTACTAAATTTTATGTTTCTTGTTCGATATTTCGAGGATTCAGATAGTCCAGAAAGATCCGGAGTCTGCCATAATTTGGTTTTGGAGGGCTATAAATGCAGGGGATAGAGTAGAGAGTGCCCTAAAGGACATGGCTGTAGTTATGAAGCAATTGGATAGAACTGAAGAAGCTATTGAAGCTGTCAGGTCTTTTAGGGGTCTTTGCCCCAAACATGCCCAAGACTCACTTGATAATGTTCTCATTGACTTATACAAGGTATACATGTAATCTTTGTTTTGATATCTATTATCTTGCATACCAAAGTCCAAGAATCACTTGAAAATGTTCTCATTGACTTATACAAGGTATACATGTAATCTTTGTTTTGATATCTATTATCTTGCATACCAAAGTCCAAGAATCACTTGAAAATGTTCTCATTGACTTATACAAGGTATCCACGTCTTTCTTAATTGTGGAAAAAAAATGTATGACTACAGACATTTTCGGTAACTGAGACACGTAAATAGATTTTTGTCCATTATATTATGTACCGAATATGTACTATGTCCATGTAACTAATTTATTTATATGTCTTTGGAACTAACTTGAAGTTCGTACATTGCAGAAATGTGGAAAAGTTGATGAACAAATTATGCTGCTAAAGCATAAGCTTAAAATGATATATTTAGGAGAGGCCTTCAATGGAAAGCCCACAAAGACTGCACGTTCTCATGGGAAGAAATTTCAGGTTTCCATCAAGCAGGAAACTTCTAGGATACTGGTAAGATCATATTCATCAATAATCGAGAATGTGTAAATGCCTTGTAGCATTCAATTATGTGAAATTTAGGCTCTATTTGATTTTGTTAAAAATCAGATTTTTGGTAGATATTGATAAAAGTTGACGAAATATACAACTGAAAATTGTGAATCCCATGAAATACGTGATTAAAATTAATTGTTGATTTTGATTTAATTTTTTATCTATTATTTCAGCTAAACCTAACCTATTCTTAACTTGAAAATGCGTGATTCACCTCAAAAATGTGTGTGATGTCACTACTAACCAATAAATAACAAGTGTTTTTCCAAGTGTGAATCATATATCAACGTTAAACTAGTCAGTTGGTGTATGACAAGTCGTGCTTTACGTACAATGGGACCAGCTATAAGAAACATAGTCGTCGTCATTTTTATTCTAAAGATAAAAAAAAACGAATACTATAAATTTAAGACAACTTGATTGGGAGAATATTTAATTTAACAATACTAAGAGTAATGAGATTACTTTTATGATCTTTTCCTTCTTGAAAGTGAGGATATGCAGAAGCGAATATACGTAATTCTCCCATTGAGATCCGCGTGTGCTTTGCTCGTTTGTTTTTTATTATTGCTATCGAAAGTAGAAATTAGTATCCATGAAGTTTTTAGTTCTAACTTCTAAATCTGGTATTTTCTATCAGGGGAATCTGGGCTGGGCTTACATGCAGAAATCCAATTACATGGCAGCAGAAGTTGTATACAGTAAAGCCCAAATGATTGACCCGGATGCCAATAAAGCCTTGAATCTGTGCCATTGCCTCCTCAAACAGGCCCGACATCAAGAGGCACATTTGGTTCTTCAAGAAGTATTGCACTATAATCTTCCGGGTTCTGAGGATTCCAAGTCGAGAAATCGGGCCGAGGAATTGTTGTTGGAACTGGAATCCGTGCAGCCTCAGCCAGCACTACTGAATCTTCCGGGCTTGAATTTTGAAGATGATTTTGTAGAGGCACTTGAACGGGCCTTGAATGAATTGGCACCAGCCCGGTCAAGAAGGCTTCCAATTTTTGAAGAGATTTCGCAGTTTAGAGACCAACTGGCTTGTTAACTTCATTCCACGATGGGTGGGTTATGGAAAATTTAAAGTGATTTATAATGAATATTTTTAGCCATTATGAAAACTTTATATGACTTTCATTTCCATGGAGGTCACCGAGTGAAATTAAGTTGATTCTTGAAAAAACAACTATGCAAGTAATGGTCCCAAATGAGGACTTTGTAAATTAGCGTAATAATTTGTGTATTACAATTATAAATTTGATTGCTTCTCTTGTAATGCTATATTTACACATCCCATTCTTCTCAAAGTTTAATTTTTCAAAACTCATTTTCAACCGCATATTCTTTAATAAAATAATATTAAACGTAAATTCAAAACTTTTCATTAATTTTTAACTACACGTTCTGCATCAATCACTATTTAAAAATACATTATTTCTCTTAAAATGGGCTCAAACAAGGGCTAAAATTTGAATTTAAAGTAAATATATTTTATATTTGACATTATGCTTGTCGCGGAAATCTCTCGAAAATTTTTGATCCACGCTCAGTTTTATCAACCAAACGAACATTAATCGAGCTTTACTAGACCCACAACACCCACTTGGTTGCCACAAGTCTTCACCCAACAAAGGAGACACTTGGTGATTAGTTTGCAAGCCACAAGGGAAAAGAAATAGTGTAGCATTTAGAACCTCAAGGAAGAAGAACTAGGACGGCAAAAAAACTCACTTTTTTCTCTCTTTCTCACAAAACCAACACACAAGAAAATGGTTAAGGATGAGTATATATATAATGGGTCACTTTAGGTTAACCAATGGGCCAATGGGTAATTGGGCCAACAATCCAAATAACCAATATATCATTCTAATGTAAAGCCACACCTCGGGCCTTTCAAATGTGTTGGGTCACGAGCAATATTAACTCAATTAAGTTACTTCAAATTGCCCTAAGTTGTTTCCGGGTCGAGCTATCATTAAGGTGTCGATATAACTTATCAAACATCGATTTAACATCATCGCCTGAATTTATTGGGTATCAAAACTCAACAAATCTCTACCTTGATGCCTAATAAATTTGCTAGCAATCAAAACATAAAGTTTATACTTGCATAATCAAGGCAATCAATAAAATTGGATCATAGACCTTACCTCGTGTTTCCAACCTGAAATACATACCATACTTGCTCTATGTACTCATTGGGGCTAAGATGAAAAACACCCCAAGTAAAAGTAGATATTCACAGTAAATAATCAAGATTAAATAAACATGCGATGACGATAAATATTATAAGATAACGCACATAGATCTTTTCAGAAACACGTTCAGACAGAACTACGAATTAAAATCAAGTTAATTAAACACAAAGTCAAACACATATGTAATAAATGCATAAATGACCTACGAAAATATCTCACAACACTTATTCTATCTCATTCCGTGTTGTTCACACCTCGAGAACACATATCTCCTATTATTGTCACTATGCGCACTAGATTGATCACTCAACTCATATCTAACTAATAAGTCATAATAGATCCTAAGTTCTCAGGATAATCATTTAATGCCACATCACTTCTCCCAACCTACGTGAATAATGTGTCTCCACCTTTCAAAAGTGATAGAAAGTGCCTCTCTCTCATACTCCACTTATACAAGGTCTCTTCACAGATAAATGATTCTAGACATTTAATCATCTCTCCACTCATGATCCAAATGTCACACTCCACATCCCTCATGCATATCACTGATACACCTTCAGACATCTATACTCTATCTTACCAATAGCCATTCAACACATTGCTAATGCACCTCAAACCCATTGTGGGAAAACAATACCTTTTGACGACCACAAAGGTTAGGGCTCAATTTAAAATTGACCAACGCACCACAATGTTACTCTAATCACTAATGCTCAAAAAATCCACAAAGAAAATGATAAGATGGCACTCATAAAGAGAATAGAAGAAATTGTTGGTTATTTCACTACACTCATAGAAGAGGCTTATAAAAAGAAATAAGATAACCTTACGTGGATGCCTCACACAATCTCACAAACCATACAGGCTCACCAAGATAAGGGAGAAAACGACTGCCCATATTTCTTCTCATTACCACACTCTCAAACCATTCACAGAGTAAACGAAGTACGCCAAGCATGCAAACACATTACACAAAGTAATAAGATCACAAATGAGAAGGTTTAAGGATTGATTTCACCTAACTTTCAATTATGATTCAACGAATTCAAATTATTCCAATTACTTTTCTCATATTTAAAAGCAAGAATCCTAATGTATTTTTTATCCCCTCTCTCGAGCGCTGATTAGAAATTAACCCTAGATCTCAATTCTAACATCTCTGTTCAAAATTGAAAATCAAGAATTTAATAAAGATCCGATTCTTTTATGGAGTAAGTTTCACAGATTTATACTTTCTCTCGAAACCTATAAATTCTATATTGTATCACTCTTATAATCATGCCTAAATTCCCACTCTCTCAAGCGCCGGAATTGACTAGCATCAAATCATCCAATTGTTGATTAGGCAATTGAAAGCATTAAAATCATGATACAATTAAATATATTTAGGAAAATCAAAGAAATAATTATAAAATCATCAAACCATAATCTTGATTCGGCTACATCAATCCCCTGGATAAATTGTGTAATTCATGATATAATAAATGAAAATCATAGGAATTATAATAAACAACTTAAGGAAAAGGATAGAAAAAACTAGTCTTTTGGATAGATCTTCAATCTTCTTCCTTGATGTTGTTCCTCCTTCCTTTTGATGTCTTCAATTTTTTGCCTCCTTCAAATTGTGTGGTTGAATTCTTCAATCTTGCCCCCTTCCCTCCTTTTTGAAAATAGGGTTTTTGAATGATATTTATAGTATGTTGGGGGGTTTAGGACGAAATAGGGTTGAATTGAGCTAAGAAAAGAGTCCAAAAACTTAAAAACGCGTTTTCCCACATATTCGGCACCTCGGCACCAAATATGGGCACGGTGGCACCGCCTGTTCTATTAATTTTCAGTCATATGGACGCTACGGCGCTCAGTTCGGTCGAAAAGGCAGACTGCGCATCTTCCAATATTTTTAGCATAACTTTTGCATCCGATGTCCAATTGAGATGATGCAAGATGCATTGGAAAGCTAACTCAAAAGGATACAACTTTGCTTCAAGCATCATTCATCAACTTGATCGTTTGCTATATAAAAAATGGGTCTCAATGTGAGGCTGAAACTTCGGAGCATAACTTGACGGTTGGAAATTGATTTGTGATCATATTTTGACTAAATTTGATCCCTTTTACATCTTTTTTTATGCAATTGACTCCTAGCACTCTCGAATCTTCATTGCGAGGTTCAACACAACTTTTCAATATTTGCACTTTAGTCCTAGAACTTTGGATCTCTTACAATTTGGTCATTTTCTCCAATTTTGCCAACTTTTGCTTATTTCTTTCAATTTCATCAACCTAGATCACAATGTCAAAATACACATTAAAAAGCTCTAAAACACTCTCAAGAGTAGCAAAATAACAAATTAAGTGGCATAAAAATCATGAGTGTAAAGCACTCATCATCATGTCACCGTCGACACCGTCACCAGAACCACCAACACCTCCCAGTAGCAAAACCATCATCTCAAACACCGCAGCCAACAGCATCATCACCACCACCACCACCACCACCACTGACAACAAAACCACAGCCACACCAAATCTAACATACTCTCTGTCACCGTTGGATCCAACAAAGCTACCACCATCATGAGCACCATTACCACCACAGCCCCCACTCCACCAACTGAAAAACACATCCCAAAACCCACATTGGATTGTGGAGCTGCAGATCCTAGCCATGGCGTGCGACAGGGCTAATCGACAAAGGAGTAAGAGATCAGAGTCAACAGGTTCAACTAGCAATGGTCTCACCTACGGCGACACGTCTGCTATCACTAATTTCACACATGAAGCAACATTACCCATAGCCACACCTTGCTTGTGTCGTCGCACAGCGGCTGAGCATTGCTCGTAGTGTCGCTATGTGTTTGGCATTATCGCTGTCACTTCGGTTGCACTCATTGTCATCGTTTAGCAGTTGTGTAGAGAGAGAAAGAGGGGATTCGGTGGGGGGCGGAGAGAGGGCGACTGTGGTTGTACAGAGAGAGAAGAGAAAAGATTGAGAAATAATTAGGATTTTGTAGCGTAGATGGTAGTGGGATGAATATGTAAAATCATTTTTATAATATTATTATTAATATTTACAATTTAAATTATATCTAATTTTTGAAAACTCTTAAACTTGAATTGAGATCTTGAAATCATTTAATTCATGTAATTTCTACTATCTTCTAAGATATGTTTATGTTTAGTCCATGTTTGGTCCAACAAAAAATTTGAATTAAAATTCAAGTCAAAATCAATGATTAACTTTAATAACATATTTTGTAGTAATTACAACTTTTCAATTACAGATTTCGTTAACTTTTATTAATATCTATTAAAAATTTGATTTGTATCTAAATCAAACAGGGGCTTACTTTCTCCATTTAAACGAAAAGAGACATTTTATCTATCATTAAATTAGTCAAATTAAGGTCGGATTGTGGATGAAAGTGTAAAATATTTGGTTTGTACTTCTTAAAATGTTTGGGACTTGATTGCTAATTAAAAAAATTGAGTTTAAGTGTAAAATATTATATGGTGAGAATGTATGATTGAAAATTAATTTTCTAAAGGAATAAAAGAAAAAAAAGGAGGCTTCAATTAACGGGGATCAAACAGGTCTAAGTGATTGAACAAAATTATTCTTTTGTAATTAAACATGTGTTGTGCATTGAGCCTTTAACGGCAAATTTGGACAACTGGACCAAAAGGATCACTCTTGCAAAAAAAGTAGATATAGGGATGTTTTATCATTGAAAGGATAGATACACAGAAACTCAATATGATATGGGATCAAAAGTACAAAAATGCCAGAAACAAAAATATGTACGTAAATAGAAATTTTAAAAGTATGGGATATGAGTTTGCACTCCCTACAAAATTGACGACATATTAATTTTAAATGACGTATCAATAATAAATTCGATAGATAGCAAATTGGATTTCAAATCTCAACTCTGATATGGCAGACAAAAATGAAAGCAAGCTTATCTTTATGGGAAGGAGGGAGCACAAAAGTTCTTTAAATCGTATTTGATTTTTGCTTTACTTGAAATTATAAACAAGTTGACATAAGTTATCGAGCAAGCAAACATGTTTAATTAAAATCTCGACCATCACTCTTGTTTAGTACAATCTCAGTTGCGTTTTGCCCATATTTGGTCCTCATTTTCTCAAGTGTTTTTTTAGGCCCGGGCATTTTAACTAAAATTGAACCTCCCGAATTGAAATTGAATCAAAATAGGAGGTTTCAATCTGATTCCAAAAAAATAAAATTAGGAGCCAGAATCGAGAATGGATTGGGTCTGAATCAGTTCTTGATTCTTAAACTAAAATCGTGGGTACATGAATGGAATCATTTTTTTTTTATATTTTATATTTTTCATAATTTATAGGCAGGTAAAAAAAACAACGAAAGTCATTAACTTAATCACTAAATAGGCCGCTATGGATCTGGGTTGGTTTGCAGGTTACAAATCAAAATCTGCCCAACTAAGAAATACAAAATTTAAAAATTCTAATTTGTCTAAAACTCTAGATTCTAACACAAAGAAATTAAGTTACAAAGTCTTGTTGATGCTTCCTGACTCTTACGTTTTTTTGCCTCTCACCTCATATTATATTGTTGCATTTCAAAGGTTAGTACATGTCAATTTGTAATTTGGACTTTCTATAAATCAAAATGTTCAAGTTAGGACTGTAGTAGAAGTTAATGAATCAAAAACATTCAAGCTTTCAATCTTTACAATTCAGACTTTTTATTTTCTTGTATTGTTTACAAATATAAGTGATTTTTTTTGTAAAGCATAGCAACTAAGCTTGATATAT